TTAAAGAAGGAACTTAGTAACCATTGTGTTTGTTTGACTACTGATACATGGACGTCAATACAAAACATAAACTACATGGTTATTACAGCTCATTTCATTGATAACGGATGGAGAATGCACAAGAGGGTGCTTAATTTCTGCCTCATTCCTAACCATCAAGGGCAAACCATAGGTAAGATTTTAGAGTGTTGTTTACTACAGTGGGGAATTAAGAGGGTTTTGACTATAAGCGTAGATAATGCATCAGCTAACAAGGTGGCGATTGATTACATTAGGAAAAAGTTGTCTAATATTGATCCACAACAGTTATTTGGAGGAAAGTTTCTACATGTAAGGTGCTTAGCTCACATTATCAACCTTATAGTCAAGTCTGGTTTGCATATGTTGGATAAATCTATAGCTAGCATCAGAAACGGAGTAAGGTATGTTAGAAGCTCTCCTGCAAGGCTTGATGTTTTTAAGGGCTGTGTTCAAAATGAAAACCTAAACACCAATAAAGTGTGTGTTTTAGATGTTCCAACAAGGTGGAATTCAACATACATCATGTTGGATACTGCATTGCAGTTGAAAAGGGGATTTGAGAGGATGGCTGAGGAGGAGGATGAGAGATGGAGGAGTTACTTTGATGAGAATGAGGATATAGATGAGGATGATGAAGAGTATGTAGTTATATCACCGCGAAGAAGGGTAGGTCCGCCAGCTGAATCAGATTGGGACAAAGCAGTTGTCTTTGTGAAATTTTTGAAGATATTCTTTGATGTAACTGTGATGGTGAGTGCAACAAACTGTCCCACTTCACCCAAAGCTTTCCATCACATGATCACGATTGACTCAGAGATTGAGGACATGTTTAAGCAACATTACTCATCTGACAAAGATGTAGATGGAGGTGAAGGTCAAGGTCAAAGTGAAGCTAAAAAGTTGCTGTCAAGTATGGCTGTGAAAATGAGAAGTAAGTACAAGAAGTACTTTGGATCTATAGATGACTGCAATCAACTCCTTTTGATAGCTTTAGTCTTGGACCCAAGGTATAAATTGTTAAACTTCCAACGAATATGTGAAAAGATGTTGAACTTGGGAAAGGAAATGGTGAAAAAGAAAGTTGAAGAAGTGAAAGAATTGTTAACCAATCTAACTGATATATACGCTTCAACGTTTGGTACTCAAAGTTGTCAGAAAGGAGTCAAAGTGGTGGAGCAAAGTACTGACAGTAAGAATGGTGACTATCTATCAATTGGTGTAAGTGGAAAGATGGCTGAGCTTCTTGAGGATTGGGACAGGGAGTTGGAAGAGGGAGATAATGTTGTTATAGGCAATGAAGTAGATAGGTATCTACTGGATCCAATTGAAAAGCCTCCTAAAGGATCTGATTTTGACATACTGACATGGTGGAAGATTAATGGAAGCAAGTACCCTAATCTGCAGTTGGTCGCCAAGGATGTTCTAGCAATTCAAGTCTCCACAGTGGCATCTGAATCATGTTTCAGCACTGGAAAGAGAGTTATAGATCCACATCGAAGCTCTTTAACTCCAAGAACTGTGGAGGCTTTAATCTGCCTCCAGAATTGGCTAAAGTCTGATAGTATTCAAGGACTAGAGTACACTCCTACACCTGAGGAAATGGCGTGGCTTGAAATGGTTGAGAAAGGTATTATGTTTGTTTGCAAAGAGTGACTTAATATATTGTTTTATTCCATGTTAAAATATAAAAGTAAAAACTGCAGTAAATTTTATATACTTTTTCATTTGATGTAAATTATTTATTGGTATATATGCAGAACATGAGGATGATGAAAGGGAAAAGAAGGAGAAGCATGATGCAGAAAAGGCAACAAATGCCCCAAAGCCACCAAAAGTCCAGAAAGTGCAGAGATATGGTGTAGGAAGATCAGCCAAGAAATGATATGTTTTGCCAGCTTTGGTGAAGTAAGTATACCGATTTGTTGATGTAGAGATATAGTGTGGGAAGGTTCTTTGACTTTGGACAAAAGTAGGTAAAATTATTTGTCAAGTTTGCTTCTGTCCATAAAATAAAACATTCCCTAGGGACCTTAAGCCCCATAGTCATATTTAAAAAATTCATTAGAATGGTAAGTTAAATCCCCAACAAGGTGCTTGAAATTTATAACCCAGATAGAAACTGCAACACCTTCATAATACTTCAGGGGCAGTAATGTTAGTGCCTATTTTGATTTGCATTTTACCGATTTTTATTCTTTATGTTTAGCTACTTTTAATGTTAGTAGAAGTATGTTTTTTCAGGGTTGAAATAGCTTGTATTGAAGTGCTGGTGAGCTGCTGCTTTTGGAAATATAAAGTCCTCATTGCTTGCTCAGGGGCCAGTTGCTTGGATATCTTTTTGTTTAGACATTGCTACTTATGTTTTAACTTTAATGTTTCACTTATGTTTGCACTGTTGGACGTTTTTGTGATGTAATGCCTAAGTTTGACTAAAATTGTACTTGTAATGTAACTTTGAATGTTTTTTTTGGTAGCATACATTCAAATGTGTTCATTTTAGAAGTAGTAAAATATTTTCAGGAACCGAAAAAAGGCCAGAACCGAACCGTTCAAACCTTGTTCGGTTCTAATACGGTTCCTGTTTTTTTTTAAGGAACCGAACCGATATTAAAAATTACATTTTTTAAAACGGTTCTAAGTTTTTTTAACTAGAACCGAACCGGTCCCAGGCCTATCCCAAACTAACAAAAGATTAAACAAAAAAAAATCATTATTTATAATTAAAGTATATTAGCATTTATAAAGTATCATGTAACAAAATATAACATTTTGTAAAAGTTAGCTAATGTTCATAACAACTTAACAAGTTATCTTTCACAAACAAAAACAAAAAACTACAGAGTATTAGATTTTAATTAAGAAACTAAAATTTAGAACAAAGCAGAAAAAGAATTAATTTATTCAAACTTATGTATTCTAGATGTGGAATACTTATATCCAAATATATAAAGAGTGAGATACAAACCTAAGTTGGTAAATATTTATGTTAGGTATTATTTTTAATTTAAAAAATTGGGCTTGAAGATTAAAAACATACTACTACATATATTTTATTTTTTTGAGAAAGCACTACAAACTAGTCACATGCTAAAAACTACGGGTATATAGTTATTACAAACGGGACAACGGGACGGTTCGGGATAACCTTCCGGTGTCCCGGTCATGTCCCGTTTTAAACCGGTACGGGATCGGTGCGGGACAAAATAATCGGATCCCAAACGGAACGGGACAACACCGGTACGGTTTCGGGATATACCGGAATGGGACAATGAGACCGGGATTCTTGCCCACCCCTAATTACCATTATTGAATACCTTTATTAATAAAATTCAATAAACATTGTTGATGTATGATAAACTTCGACGAAAATGGATTTGTGAATCTTGAAATCCCAATTTATAATTGTTCATCAATAAAATTGAACAACCTAAAAAACATTAACACCGTAAGGATTTGTAGATCATCACATTACCAAATACTAATCATAATTTACATCAAAAGTCAAGCTAATTCCTTGAATAAGATACTTAGGGAAGCGTATACTGTACAACCGGCTGTACGGTGTCATCCGTACAGCCGGTGGCATTTTTGCAATTTTAATGAAAAACACGGCTTCTTTTGAATGTGCATTAACGCAATTTTGTTGAGCATCAAATATGTTCTTTTGAGTATTAGGAACCTAACGGTGAGCATCAATGATGTCTGCTTCATACCTTATACATCACTTTCTGTTTATTATTTTTCGTTTATTAAAAAGTCTAAAGTTATGTCTATAATCAATTTCAATTACTTTTAATATGTGAATCTGATGTACTATGATATGTTTGAAATGTGCAACCTTTTAAAATGAGCATAAAGCAGTACCACATGAGCACACATAACTTACAAAATGAGTATAAAAAAATAAAAACCGCATTTGTGCGTGCTCATTCATTTTGAACGTTATACTCATGTGAATTTAACATAAAACTCATTTCTAATGTAGTATGATATGTTTGAAATGTGCAACCTTTTAAAATGAGCATACATAACTTACAAAATGAGTATTAAAAAATTCAAAAGCTCATTTGTGTATGCTCATTCATTTTGAGCACGACACTCATTTGAGTTTAACATACAAACTCAGTTCTTATGTGTCCAATATCCATCTGTGTATATTCACTCCTTTTAAACATTATACTCATTTGCCTTTAATATTAAACTCATTTCGACATAGACAGATCCACAAAGAGCTTTCAACTCCTTTCCCTTCTTCTTTCTATAAGCCAGCCCAGAAACAGGGGGTGGGAAGAATTGAATCTCAGGTCAAAAGCGAATCCAGGTTTCGATGCGCCAATCGATCAGAGTATGTGGCTGCTTCGCGAGTTGAAGACCTGGGAAGTCGATGTTCCGTCTTCATCGATGCCCTTCTTCTTCTTCGCAGATGAGTTGCAGCGCGCAGATTAATTAAAAAAAAATCGGTTGTACCGTGCGCACGGTACAACCGACTGTACCATGGAATTTGCGAATACTTAGAGGCTGTTTATTTTTTTCTATATCAATTATGACGTCTGTCTGGATTAAGTTATATTTGTATATGATATTGTTTACTTTGTGTGCTGAATAAACAGTTTGAATTGAGTAAAATAATCAATTTATTATTATTCTTGTGCCATAATGTCAATGAGAAATTTCATTTATTAACATAAATCTATTTCACAGTCGATCTATAAAAAATTAACAAAAAAGACGTTTAAATGGATGTCTTAATGGGAATGACTACTATTTTCCAGCTTAATGATTCAGAATATTTTTACTTGGACTATAATCTGTCTCAGACCAGACTTGGATAGTTATAAAAATACATAGAGATCAGACATTATCAGACCAATAAATTACAGTACAAGTAAAAACATCTTAAGTCAGTTTTTTGATTGAATAATCAAGTCATGTTTTCAATTAAGTCGAAAGTAAACGCAAGTTAATGGCTTAACGATTAAGTCACTATTCCCATTAAGTCCATTAAGTCCAAAGTACACAGCCCCTTAATTTTATTCCTTAGTGTAAAAAACATCATCACTTTCATACACGTATGAATGCAATTTAAGGTAGAACAGCCACATATACGAGAAAAGAAGGTAAGCAAACTATATAATTCAGGTCCTCAATACAGTAAAGGATTAGGAGTGCATATTGGAAGATTGTATGAGGTAATTAGTGAAACGGCTAGCTAGTTTGTATGACCCAAATGAGTATTTACGTAGTTGAAGCTTATGTTTTATTGTCTTCTGCGTCATGCAGCCAAGTTGTACTTCTTCACAGAATCATGAAGGGCTGTGAAAGAAGAGGCAAATTGCAGACATGTCATCCATTGGAATTCCCCTTTTAGTCCGCTTCCATGCACAAGCTGCACGCTCCACCAGCCTCTTGGCAGCACTTTCCTTTTCTGGCGCTGAACAAACTATATCCACAGCTTCTTGGTTAGACATTACATCCCACACCTAAAAAATACAAAATCCGACAAAAAATGTTCGCATTAATTTGGTATGTATACTTTGTATAACAATTAGTAGACACAAGTAGTTGTGTACAGTGTACTCACTCCATCTGTGGCCAAAATGGCAAACTGATCTCTAAAGGTTATGTTTCTGAACATCACTTCAGGCTCAGAAATGAGGCCAAAGTCTTTGAAATAGTAGTCTCCGAAGGCTCTAGATATTGCTAGCCCAGGCCCTTCCAATTCTTCTCCATTTTGAGGTGGCATCCACACCCTATACACCCCCGGTTCATCATCACTCGAACAAACCCTGCCCTTGGACCTCATTATGCGCTCACGTTCTCCTTCAGCATTCAACAAAAGCACAAAGATAAGTCTTTTATATACACACTGTTGTAATGATAAGAACTGTGCAGCCATAGACAGCCAAATAGTGGGGGGAGTGTTATTATAAGTACTAACCAGGTAAGTTGGGTTTGAAGTCGACCGTTAGCTGAACCGGTACTAGGTCACCACCGTCATCAGTTGTAGCCAAGACTGCCCTGGAGTCCCCCACATTTGCGATCATCATAAGATCACCCTGAAATATGTAAGGAAAAATCAAAGTTTTTTTTAACTGAGTTCATCATCACACTGAGCACCTTAATAGTTAGTAACAACATTGCGGGCTAGCGGCATGAAATTTATGGCGTCAATTAACCATCTAAGTTTAGTCATGGCTATACATTGACACCCAAAAATTATAAACATGGTGTAAATATCACCGGTGGCAAACTAAGAATACTGAGATGAAATTCAAAATCATCGTCATCGCCGTTAGAGCTTTGGGGGTTTGTTCTCGTTGGTGAACATCAATCTTGCATTTTACGACTTGAGATTTTTATTCTAAAAGGGTGACCTTATAATAACCTTCATAGTTGGCTGGTGCGAGATAGCTTAGCAATCATAAGGTTTATTAGCTTATTTCCATTGCTAGTTGCTTGCAAAATATCATGAGTATATATCGTAAAATCCGCATGAACGTGAATGATGCTTAGCGTATAAGTTAAGATTCAAAGCCTAAAAGTACTTTGTCATTACCTGTTTAACAACTGTCAGTGCAGTTGTGCCACTATAAAAAGAATCCGCATGCTGTTTGAGTTCTTGATCAACAGCAGAACAGGTCTTGATGAGAGATTGTCTCCATATGTCAATACGGCAGAATTGTCTGTCATCTAATCCTTCATCATTGTAATGATCAAGCTCTTCTTTCCAGTTACACATCAAAGAAATAGGAATTGATTCCCTGACTCTTTTAGCTACAACATGACCCCACGGACCATGGCCATCAAACACACCACAGAAAATTATATCTTCTTGACCCCCAAACTCCTGTTTTAATAGCACTATTAGGCACATGGATATGTCATTTCTCAAATAGGAATACAAACATTAGTAGGACTCAAATATATTGGACTGACCAAAATACCCTTTTATTCTACAGCCCTAAATAATAACCCACCACAGGAGAGCAAGCACATTTGGAATACTGCCGCTAACCACCAATACAGGCGCTGCTGAACCACTGCAGCTCACTGGACTGCCGCCCGTAACGGCCGCAGCCGAACTGCCACCACCCAGTCGCCAGACTGCCACCACTCTACCCTAAATGGTAGATTATAAACCCTAAACCTAAAATTCGAGGGTATTTTGAGTTTAAAATTATTACACTTAAATTAAGGATTACGCAAGTCCTAGGTAAGGAATAAACATAGTCTTATTTTTGGAAAACGTCGAGTTTTACACTTATACAGAGCAATTTACTCTTAGGCAAAACAACTACTATTAAGGGGCAACAAAAAACTGACAAACCAAAACCAAATTGACCGAAACAGTAAAATACTGACAACAGTAGGAGCAGTTCGGTTTACGGTTTATGATTCATGCTTTCAAAACCAACCAAGTTGCCAAAGTGAACCTTAACTGACCAAAAACCACTTAATCAATCGGACTTCGGTTTCAGTTTTTTTAAAAACAAATCGACGAAAGCGAAACTGCAAGACCCTTAATTACTACTAACAAAACATTTAGCTCATATTTTAGTGAAATTAGCAAAACCATTACTTTTACTAGAATGAACAAGTACTAAATAAAAGGGGGAATTTGACTTTGCACCCCACATTTGGGATGAAATTGGACTTTGCACCCCATTTCAAAAAAACTTTGATTTTGCATCCCATTTCACTTCAAAATCCTTTGACTTTGCACCCCATTTTGAAATTTTCCTTCACAAATTTTAGATGATAGGGTGCAAAGTCAAATGTTTTTTAAAATGGGGTGCAAAGTCCAATATCACCCAAAAAGTGGGGTGCAAAGTCAAATTCTCCCTAAATAAAATATATAGAATTATTGGATTTTTTAAATACCTCCCATACAATGAGGCGATCTTGATTGACTCCCTTTTTTCCTTGTCTTGAATGCAGAGAAGTAAAATTCTTAGACGCAATAGATTTAACACTGCCAGAGGTTGTCAGGATTAGCTCATTCTTTCTTGCATCCTTGGCAAGTAAATTTGCAGCTTCTCTTTCAATGTCTTGTTTGCTCTTCCTTCCACTCTTATATGAAATTGTTCTTGCCAAACCGCTAAAAAGAGAATACAAGGGAGCCATTTGATCTCTTCTTGGTTCACTCCTAAAATGATGAGAGACATGGTGTGCAAGCTTAGTAAAAACCAGCATGGGTCAGTCCTTTCAAATCGTTCAAGTGATCTAAAAAAAGGCCAGCCTAGTCCGGGGAAAGGTCCCACCTCAAGGATGTAGGCCTTCCCTTCCCTTGTCATTTTGACAAGAAGCCTCTCGCAAGACTAGAACCCCCTTGACTTGAAATAAATTATGAAATCGTCCTTCTACAGCCAAACATCATAATAGTCTTTAAAAGTCAGGGTACATCTGGATTCTACTTTGTATAATTTCAGTTTACCTCATTTGTTTAAATGATAACAAGAACTTGGGTTTTTAGATAATTAGTTTCAACTTGGAGAACCTCTAATACCCTTTTAAGTAGGTTCTACAATGAAAATTTGGGAGAGGGAGATTAAAATTATCCTAATAAGTAATTTGTGTACGTTGACCTAACTTAACCCCTCTTCAAACAACTATTTACTAAGTTAATCTAGCATAACATCTTTTTGTATTTTGGTTAAATTATTAAGTATCAACTAACTAGCACAGAAACACAAAACATGAAATTCGATAAAAGCTATTTTAAAAGATATAGGATACGAAATGTCGAGAAAACGCATAGATATAAAAATATAGGGACATACCTATAATTACCTCATATTTATGTATACACTTTTTCCAGCTAAACTTTGTTTTATAAATTATAACCAAAGGTAAAACTAGTTTACAAGTTCAAATATAGACATTTTCACATATTAATAATTAACAAAATAGCAATACATTTCTAATAATGAGTTGTGCTATAAAATGTCAAATGAAGGGTTTCCATAAAGGAAATTCCATTAAAAACTACATATGAAATCTTTTTATAAAGGAAGACTAGTGCAACAAGAGTTTGAAGTTTCTTTCTTCCCAAACTGCGGCAGAGCTTCAAAGGTATAGAAACACAATTTCTATGCTTCTTCAGTTATGCAAACATTAGTTGTATAGATGCAGCTAGATTCATTCATCCCTCGTAAACAAGGAGTAATATAATTAGGTTCATCTACTCAAAAGCTCTATCCAAGCTCTACAAAAACGCTCTATATATCCAATTTCCGAACGCTTTATCCAAAGGGATCCTAAAAGAAGAAGAAAAAGGAGTCACCTTGTTTCGCCAAGGTTGTTATGCGAGTATCTCAGCCCACGAAACGGTTGTAAGCAATCGGAAGAAACACGGACGTGGGCGGTGCTCCGGTGAAACTCCGGCTACTTTGGGCGTAGTGTATAGAAGAATGCTGTGTGAGTTGGAAGGAGTGCACCAAGTCTCCATTCTCGTTCTGCACCTGCATACATCTCCCATCTCCGCCCGCCGCTGCTCAATATATATACTCCTCCGATAGATTTTTTTATTTGCGATATCATTCTTTCCCATATTTTATTATTTTATCACATGTCTTAATTAGAAAAGTTGAAGTTTATCGTTTGGAAAGGCTAGCCGCTAGAGATGATGGTCGGTTAGATTGTGGGGCACATTTTGATGTTGCATTGATAATACGGTAATACGGATTTTTTTTAGAAAGAGAAAATTGTTGTAAATCCTCCTTGTCAGAAAATTCAAATAAGTCAACCTACTTTAAAAACATTCAATTGAACATACGAACTATTAGAAAAAGCTCAATTGAGCTATATAACCGGTAATCAGACGGTTTCTAGGTTGAATCCTTCTTGGTGTGTACACATGTATCTAACAACATTATAATTGTCAATGAAGATTGGTACCCCTAACTTGTGTCAACATGCTTAATGCATGAGAAGTTGTACATTACTTTTACAAAATGGAACCCTACTTTTAATATGACTTATTTGTCCTTACTATCCCATCTTAACATTAGTATTCCGTTAAGTAGGGACGGATGTATAACTTAATAGAGTAAGTCAATGCTTCACCTAAAAAAAGCTATTCTATTTTAGTTGCAACTTTTTTTAGGCTACACCTATTTTTTCAAAGGGAAAGTTCCCGAAATAGGATTAAAACAGTTTGAAAATTCCAAAATAGGACTGCCATGTTTTTTATTCCCAAAATAGGATCAATTACTGCCAAGTTTGGAATATACTGCCATGTTTGAAGTCTAGTACTGCCAAAACATGGCAGTAATTAGTCCTATTTTGGGAATAAAAACATGGCAGTCCTATTTTGGAATTTTGAAACCTTTTTAGTCCTATTTCGGGTAATATCCCTTTTTCAAAATACTACTTGAGTTCAGAAGCTTATAGGCTCTAGTTCAAAATGCAAGTCACTATTCTATTGTGAGTGGACCGTAAATGAAAATTCTATCCAATTTACCGAAATTAATTTCCTACGTACTTCTTTACACAAATTAAAAAAAAACTTTTTGGATTTTAAAAGGCAACGACTTCACTCCCTACTTTAGTTTCTTTTTCTAATTAAATTAAGGGAAAAGGTGCAAATAGGCCCATGTACTAACCAAAAAAGGTCAAATAAGCCCTTATTTAAGAGGCTCTGTCCAGACGTCGTCATTTCGGGTGGTTCCCTGTAGAATTTTTTGATGAAATTTTTTGAGCATCTTATTTATCAAGTCTAGTTTACTCATACCAAATTTCAGCTAAAACTTCCATCGGGAAGGCATTCAAATGAATTCTTGAAGATAATTGCGCTTCTAACTGCGCAGTTATTTTCAAGAATTCATTTGAATGCCTTCCCGATTGAAGTTTTAGCTGAAATTTGGTATGCGTAAACTAGACTTGATAAATAAGATGCTCAAAAAATTGCATCAAAAAATTCCACCGGGAACCACCCGAAATGACGACGTCCGGACAGAGCCTCCTAAATAAGGGCTTATTTGACCTTTTTTGGTTAGTACATGGGCCTATTTGCACCTTTTCCTCTAAATTAAATATACATTATATTCCCTCTATCCCGTTAAGATTGTCCCATTTTACCTTTTCGGGAAGTCCCACTAAGATTATCTCATACCAAATTTGGTAAAGATTGTGGGACTCTAAACCATTCTTAATTTATTCTTACTTTATCAATTTAATATCAACCACACAAACTCACTTTTCTTAATAATCGTGTCACCTTCTTTCGTCCCAATCTTAGTGGGACGGAGGTAGTAAGATGTATTATAACTAACTATCGTTATTATTATTATTTTAACAACTAGTTTAAGAACGCGCGTTGCGCGTGCGTGGTAATGCCCAACACCATTGTAGGGAAATAATATATTGGTAAATGTTTAGTGAAAATGTGAGTATAATTCAAATAGAACAATTGAATACATAGTTTGATATTTATCGATAAAGAAGCGTAATAAATAAAGCATTTATAGGCTAGAATATATGTTCGTAGGTAAAATAGCCAAGATGAATGCAAGAACCATAATATGATTAAGGTTCGTATGAAATAATAAACCAATAAAAAATGTTTTGCTGGGAGAATTAGGCAAAATGGGGTCGGGTTCTAACGCTTTAAGAAAATTAAAGTAAATGTTCTAGGAAAGTAGTTGGAGTGATTGAAGGCGTGGAAGACAATGATAAACAATTAGGCTTTTCTCTTTCGCTTCAGATCAATAGGCGAGTCATCTTCACCCGAGCGCGGGAGCTTCATCTTTGAGGAAGGCGGGGTTGATGGATTGGCGTTGGTTGCAACAATGTAATGTGATGCATCATGTAAGGATGTCACGGTATAGGAGGGTCCTGACTTGGTTTGATAGCTATTTATCTGTGACCGCAGCTGCACTATGTAGTCTTCTTTATCCAACCGCTTATTTGCATATTGAAATGATGCCTTCTTTCCCTTCATAATTTATAAAGATGAGTCAACATGTTGGGAAGTGTCAAATTGTAACACCTATGTATATAAATTAAAGTATTAAATTTGTGCGGGTTGGTATGTTGTAAACCTGTAGCTCAATTTCCATAATTTGCTTGCTACTCAACAGTAGAAGTTTCTCGACGCTTTGTCCAAAAACCGAGGCATCAATGGTTGCAGTAGAATCGGTGATAGAAACATTCACTTTGGATCTAATATTATCATAAAAAATATTCAAGAATTATCATCGTAGTTCAGTTTAATTTTCTATCTTAAAAAAAGGTTGTCTATACATTTTATGGGTATGTTTGATAGCTGACCTTGGAGTACCAACCGCATCTTCCTTGCCACAATGCATGCAGGGAAACCGGGTATCATAATCTGCATACACTGTTTTCAAACAATTGCTACAAGCCATATACCAAAGACTGTCACCCTCAAGTAGCAACTTAATTTTGCCGTGAACCCAAATGGGTTTTGCCTGCAACAAGTTGAGCAGCTGGTGTTATGATGAAATTATATATTGATATTATTAGTTATTTGCTTTAAGCTCTGTAAAGTGTACCGGATCAATGGATGGAGGCACTTCAGATACTTTGGAAATTTCTTCCACGTCTGGGCTTGCAAGGTTTATTGCCGCGTTGTTGTATTCACGACAGATTTTGAGCGCATCAAGAGTAGGACGGTTGTCAATTGCCCTGCATAAAGCAAGGTGGAACAAATGTTATTGCGTGAAAATATAGAATGAATTGGTACAAGATTATGTATATTCATATGAGGTGTAGTAACGTACCACTTATGCAATTCTTCAGCTCTTGAAGATGTTGGATTGATGATGAGGGTAGAATGGGGTTTTCAGTTTTGTGGATAATGAAATACCTTCAAAACCCCATACATATGATGTGTACATACATTACAATGGGGTAATAAGAAATTAGAAGGAAAAGAGTTACAACATTATAATGTTGCATCGGTTACTTATGATGTATGGGGTTTCTTATTATTGAAACGAATGACAAAATCAATTAAACAACATTCTTAAACACAGTTACTACATGACAAATACGGGGTGTATAATTCCATGATTGATATCAAAACAATCAATAGGAGATTAAATCAAAGAAGAAATAAAAACAAACCAAAGTGATGGTGGCCATCTATGAAGCTAAATATTTACTTCAAAAAGAACAACATTGTGCGCAAATATAGAAGGAAAAAAAACTTAGAAGAGGCTGTTTAAAAGTGTAAAAGATATGTATCAAACATTCTAAAAATATGTTGAATATGTGATTGGAAAACTCACGTTTGTTTGCCTGAGTTTTCAAATGGCGGTTCAATCCCAAAGGCAAGGGTGAGTAAACGGAAGGTTAAATAGCATTAACTGAATTGAAATGGAAAAATGAAGCTATATTGTTGATGCTTAAACGGAAGTTAACTAACGTTTGAAGTATCATTTTGAATTAGAAAGAAACAATGCATGAGGTACAAGTGCCTAATGCATAAAGCGAAACCAACATTTTTTACATTGTTAGGGTTTCACTTTAAATCCAAATATATTATTAATACAAATCTCATATAAATGATTAGAAACTTCACAATAATTAATTTGTATCATGTGTTTTTCTTGTGGCATGAGAATACTGTTTTTAAGTGCTGTTTCTAAGTGCTATTTCAGGAACATCCAGTTTTTAAAAGCAGTTTTCAAATTCTGTTTTTAAAGTGCAGTTTTTACAGAGTTCCAGTTTTTAAAAACTGTTTTCAAATTCTGTTTTTCAATGCAGTTTTTACAGAGTTCCAGTTTATAAAAACTGTTTTCAATTTATGTTTTTAAACTGCAGTTTTTAGGAACATCCAATTTTTAAAAGCAGTTTTCAAATTCTGTCTTTAAAGTACAGTTTTTACAGAGTTCCAGTTTTTAAAACTGTTTTCAAATACTGTTTTTAAGTGCTGTTTTTAGGAACATCCAGTTTTTAAGAGCAGTTTTCAAATTCTGTTTTTAAAGTGCGGTTTTTACAGAGTTCCAGTTTTTAAAAACTGTTTTCAAATTCTGTTTTTCAGTGCAGTTTTTACAGAGTATACTAAAAACAGTTTTTAAACAGTTTTTAGTATACTCTGCAAAAACAGTCTCGACCTACCATGAGACTCTCATTTCCAATTACGGAAGAAGGGGGCGATACAAAAACTATAAGTTTAAATAAGGAGAACGGGACTTTCAATACTTATCTCCAGAGGTTAATACAACTGAAGGGCAAGCTTCGAAACCTAACGAAACCGAAAGTGTCTAAACCATCTCCTTTGAAGAATGAGAATTGTGATGATGAGAGAGGTGATGAAACTTTTATTCCAGATAAAGAGAACATGACCCCTAATACGCATTTTCTGTGGTCGATGAACAAGATTGGAAGGTCAAGAGAATCCCTAAACAACCCTGAGGTAGCTGATGACTTCAACTCAAGATTAAATCAAAATGAGGAAAATGACAATGAGAAAGCACTCAGAGTGAACAACAATATTAAAGAGCTAGGACTACATATGCAGCAGTCTAAACAGAAGGATAGAGTGCCCTTCTCAAACGGTGCTTTTCAATTCTAGAAGCACAACTGAGTCATTCTGTCCAGGAATGAGCTTTAATTAAACAAATACAAATGAAAAAGGTGGACAGTGTACTGCAGGACTGTGGGTGTTATACTTAAACAGAAGTTTATAAACCCACTTTCATTATTATTTCTAAAAGAGTACGTAATTCTCAGTCCCTGAAATGATTCACAATTTTTTTCTCTAAGGAAATAATGTTTCCGTTTAAATTGTTGAATTAAACCAAAGACAACTTTAACAAAAAAAAAACTAAGGATTCCGCTAAATATGTGGTATTTTCAAGGGAAAAGCTGATTTCGTAGCGGCTATGTGTTAGAAATATTAAAGATATACTTTGAAACATTACGTGATGCATTGCTTTTTTAAACTAAATGCTTGTATGAGCTACGAAGTTAAGTTCAACAAAATACACATTTTTTTTGTTGATTATCCATGTTTACTTTTTTTTTTAAATAATGGCACCAGACTCATGTACATGCTCAATGTTTAGAAAAATGATCGCTTTCCATATGATTAAGCAAAGAAGATAGACATTTAGTAACGATATTAATTCATTTTCGAAGGAAAGGCTTTTGAAAAACTTATCTAAAATAACATACGAGCTACAAACAAATGTAATCGAATGGGAAAAATTATCTTACCTCGAATCGAAACACGCTGAGCTCAAAATGCAAACAATCTCGCAAGCCTAAAAAGATTTTTAAGTACATAGAAGATGAAAATTAGTATCTGAAAGATAGAACACTGAAAACGATACCAAAAGAAGGATAAATTGCCCTTGTCAAACGCTGCTTATCAATTCTAGAAGCACAACTGAGCTACTCTGTCCAGGAATGAGATTTAATTAAACAAATACAAACAAATACAAACAATGAGCTTTCATTATTCCTAAAACAGTAATTTTTCAGCTCCTGAAATAATTCACTTTTTTTCTAGTCCAGGGAAAAATGTTTGCGATTAGAGTAAGTTCACTTATTTTTACTCACATGCCAGCCATATACTTTAAACTGTTGAGTCAAACAAAAGATTTTTTTAATAAAAACGAAGGATCCCGTTTATAAATATTGATAAATGTGTGGTATTTTCAAGGACAAAAGCTGATCCTGCAGGGGTTATTTGGCAGAAAATCAAAGCTACACTAAAATTATTCTGCAAGGAAATACTCTTGGACAACACAAAACAGTCCAGGATTTCTTTCAAATCAAAATTAATTTGACCATAACTTAATTTTAAACACAACCCAATTATTGTAGGAGCATTTCTCTGCCGACTTGCCTAAAAATGCATAAACTTTTGAAATACTTTTATATCTATGGGGGTTTCTTTAAGTTCTAAGAAACGGGTTACCTTTTTGTTAAAAAAAAAAAAAAAAAAAAAAAAAAAAAAAAAAAAAACTGGTTACCTTATAAGCACATTCAATGAAGCAAACATCTTTATTTCTTTTTAGTCCCCAAAGAAATAAACACTCCACAAATAATGTTTTGAAGTGCTAGGATAAATTGAATTTCCTAAGATTTTAATGCTTCATTTACCTTAGCATAAAAAAGTTATGGTTTATTCAGATAATTACCAACTTGCCTATGGGTACAAGTAATGATCATTGAACAACGCAAAAAACTTCATTTAAGTGTATAGTGTGAGAATGAATAACTATTATGAATTTCGAGGTTGGCAGTACATACAAACTATATGGCTAAAGTGAGTGTTAAGAAGAAGAATGAAGGATTGCATTGAGACCCTAAGGGATGACTTGAGGCGAAGTTAATTTGTCACACAGACTTACAAACTTTCACTATTGATATATAATTAGGTCTGTTTTAGCCCCCACATCTCTATATAATTTTGGAGCACATGTTTTTTGTGTTTGTTACTATTTGATACATATATGAATCTTATCATATTAATTATGGTTATTGTAATCATCTTGGTTGTTTTATTTTCCCCATAAAGTCCCAGCTACAAATATTTTCATCATTAACTTTGTTTATCAATTGCTAGCAAATTATGTATACAAACAGTTTAATCAAACTATTCTTGCAGTCACTCATCCTAACCCGATGAAGTAATATGTGTGATGTTCCTGGGCATTTACACGAACGCGCATCGCGCGTTGCTAAATAAACCATTCAGATTGAAACAGTGAGTATTTGAAACTCCCTATATTGGAATTATGTTAGTATTATTTTTAATATCTTATGTAAAGTTTATAGAGTATGCTATCGAAGTGTCAAACCAAATCTGTTTCCACAATGGAGTTACTACATAGGTGTTGTATTTAGTGGAGTAGTACACATATTTGACGTCCCTAATTAAGTGATTAATAGGATGGTATTCCTCAATTTGTAAATTGATGTTAAATCTATAGATAGATAAATATTAAACAAATATCCCAAAACTGATTTTGAAATATCAATTTCCTTTTCTAAAAACATTTCAAGTCATTATAACATCTCGAAACAGAGGCATTATATACTACGTATTTTGTTTTTATCTTAAAATTAAAAAGAGGAAACGATAAAGTTTGGCGAGTTGGAGTGATAAATTTTTTGTTTCCTAAAATACGACCTAGAACCAGAATCTGATTTGCTTATAACAAACTCAAAATCTAACCTGCTTCAAATTATTCATAACAAACTCAAAATCTGATTTGCTTCAAATGAACTGTATATATACTCCAGACAGTGAAGGAAAACAGGGAGAGGGGAAACTTACAGTGCAAAGCAGACCTGGAAGGTGGAAGATGACTAATTACACAAAGCAAATTCAAAGAATAGAGGAAAAACTCACCAGAGCAGAACAGGGCAGAACCGGAAAATCGATCGAAGAGCCGCGCAACAGTCTTTATAAGCACCCAACGGAGGACGATTGAAAAACCAAACCGCTCCAAAGCCATAACTGCGGATGAGCTTAGGATGCAACGCGGTTGAAACGGAAGGAGATCAGTCGAAGGGGCGCTGAGGATGTGAATGAATGAATGAAATAAAGCAAAGAGGGGAAATAAAAGCCCCTATGCGATTTTTTTAGCGTATAAACAAAAAATGCGAGCCTTTGCCTCCGTCTAGGGACATAACGTTTAAAGTGCTTAGAGGTCAAAATGTACAACATAGTGAATAGAAAAGTACAATCAGTTTATTCATGCAGAGACACCAACACATTTTTCAGGACAGTTAAACCCCCGACAAGATTCCCTCTTATATAATTGTAGAGAAATGCATTCTCTAAGACTTCATGCTTATCACCCGCGAAAATAACACGAAAATTATAAGATAAATTATAAAAATTGCAATTTAATTATTTTTATTTTTATTTTTATTTAAATATAAATTATAAGATTTATTATAACTATCGTTATTGTTATTATTTTAGCAAATTGTATTCTCAAAAGTCTTGAGTCTAAACTTCATGCTGCTAAATACACATTTAGGCTATTCAACCTAGTAAATAATTACAAAAAATTATTTGTACACACCCAAATCCATACATGCCCGGCCCGACATGCCACAACGTCTTTGAGGGTATTCAAAAAAGGTTACATTGTTCACAAATAAAATACGTTTTGTTTGTGAACATGTGTGGAGTGTGTATTGATTTGGCGTGTACAATAAGAATTTTCCAAAAAGATTATCCATACTCTTAAAGACGGCATGTGTGGAGTGTGTATGAACTTGTAGAATACTCGTAGTCAGAAAAGTTTTTTTTTTAAAGAATTTTGAAACTCACACAACACCTATACTTTTACGAGCTCAATATGCACATAAGGTGTTAACACTACTGCCACAGATCACATTAAGAGCATATTGTCATTTCAACCATTCCATATACTTAAATATAATGGAAAATATAGTCAATTCTTAGAATCACATAGCTTTAAAAAATATAGGCATTTTCCCACACATCAGGTTATGGACTAAAAATATAATTGATCCAATAATTTCGCACACTATTTAAAAAACTCATAACAATCTCACATATAATAGTTATTTACAAAAAAAGTTGATATTGGGCAAAAGCTATCGCGCATTGCGCGATCAAACGCTAGTACATGTATGCGCACTTTTGTACATTGTATGTACACAGACAGATGGGAGATAAATGTTGTCCTCTTCTTAACGAATATCCTGTGTACACATGCAAAATAGGGGATGTATCAAAGTGGGTACAAAAATAGGTACAAAATAGATTTTTTCTTCTAGGTTAACTACCTACGTGGTCATCCACGTAGTACACTTTGTGGGGTTTAATGCAGGAAATACCTTTGTGAAATCAATAATAAGCATGTTAGCCCCTTGTGTTTAGAAATATGCATGGAATACCCTTATGTTTTAATAAATGTGGCATCAAAACACTGAAGAACGAGAAGTTAACCAACGTGCCCAGTGGCGGAGTCAGAATTGACAGGTTACAGGGGTCGAGGCTTAAAGAATTTATATAGCAGAGGGCAAAACTTAAATTTTCACTATATTTTTCACTACTTAAAAATATTTGTACATGTATATATACATCACAATTTTTTTCTTGCAGGGGGCGTGGCCACCGCCAGCCTCCCCTTGTCTCCACCTTGAATGTGCCTCACACGCTCTTGAGGTGAGAGTATTTGTCACATTGTTTGACATTTCAGTTTTCTAAAATGAATTTCCATTTTCTTTAAAAAAAATGAATTTCCATTTTGTATCTAGAAAACTGCCTTTAGAATATCATATCCTATTCATGTTGATTTGTTGGCGTTGAATCTATCTTATACTTAGTATGTAGCACTCCGTATTTAAAGAGTCGGAAAAACTGGACCAAAATCCGGAAACCAACCCTGACCCGATCCGAATGATTTTCCATGTCCGTTTTTTTTTTCTTTTTAACCAGCCCGAATAATAAAAACCCAGATCGAACCCGAATGTTCGGGATCATAAACGGGCTCTAAAATCTAGGCCCGGATTGGAAAAAAACTTGAAATAATTGTCTTTAATATAAATTAATAATTATATATGAATGATGAATCAAATTTATAAATATTCCTAATACATTATTATAATCATGGTGGATGAAAAAATGACTTACTAACTTTTAATGAATATAAATATGTTCAACTTTGTATATCGTAATGACCATGAATATATATTTATAGTAACTTTAGTCACATTTTTATTCATAAATTTTATTTAGTAATATTTTTAGAAAACCAATAGTATCTTTTTATAGGTAAAACAATAATATTTATTTATATGCACCTTAAACAAAATATTAAGATAATTATCTTCTCTGAATTTGAATTGTAGGTGATTTTGGAGACTAATATTTGTGTTATCATTTGCGAATTGTATTTTGATTAATTTTATTTGAAAATAGGTTTCAAAATATAAAAAAAAAATTACATGATTTCACGTTCGGGCTTTAACCGGTTCAACCCTAACCCGAACCGAACTCGGGCTACCAAAAACCCGACTATGACAGAATATAACGGGCTTTGTTTTAGTTCCTAATTTTCATGCATAACCCGAGACCTTACGAGTAATTTTCGGGTTTAGCAAAAACCTGACCCAGGCCGGACCAATCTCACCCCTACATATTTAATGTGTAGTATCTCTTATGACACACTTAATTAAGAATTAATCATTTAACCTTTAAATAAGTTTTTTAGGCGTGCGCGCGCACCCACACATGTACTTTAATTAAGAAATTAATAGTCCGTCATGTAAGGCTGAATCGTCTGATTTTGCTGAAATTTATGAAGTTTTGGTTGAAGCGGGTGAATTAATCGATTGATGTGAGTTTTCTCATACATAAAATAAATGTAGCAGTAAAGAACTTAAGTACGAGTATCGGCTACACAAGAAAAAAACTAATTATTGATTAATTTCAATGGTTAAAATTGCGATGAAAATAAAGCTGAATTAAGTGGCTCTTCCATTTTAATGACAAGACGGAAACATAGATTGATAATGGGGCAACCAGATTTCGGGACTGATCAAGCTTAATCACATGAGTTTCATTTAAATGAGTAACATTAATTAATACTAAATTCTAACCACTTTCGTTGCATAGAGTACACCATTTAGAGAGCAAGGTTGGTCTCTCATGCGTCAGCATGCTTTTATTTAACTCGTTGCCAAACGAACGAGCATACGACTCCTTAATCGTGCTTATCTCTTAGCAAGTGATTGTGTGCGTAAGAAAGTATCCTAGAACAATTTAGATCTCTCGTAAAATATTCTATGACAATTATAATCTAATCGGTCGTTGCAGTTTATAAAAGACAACATTTAAATAATTCACACATTAATTAAATAAAATTATGTAAAAATGGTTGAATCAGCTGGTGAAACTTATGAAGTTCTGACTAAAGTGGTTGGATTGACTGATTCTTCTTATTTATGTAAAAACTATATTTAAAATATATTTTATTAATAAAATAAAATAAAAATTAAATGAAAAAAGTTAAAATGGTTATTTACAATAATTCCAGCCAATACAGTCAAAGAAGTAACTCCAACCTTACTTTTTTGTTATTATATACAATTGAGCGTGTGAAATCAAAAGTTAAATATTTAGTAGAAAAATTGGCTCATAAGCTTGATAAACCGAAAAACATAATTACCAAACGGGCTCTCAATCTTGAATTAATATATATATATATATATATATATATATATATATATATATATATATATATATATATATATATATATATATATATGCATATATAATATATGCTTATATATATACGGAGTATAAGATTATTAGGAGATGTGTATATATTGCCAGTTAACACCTAGAACTTAAAGTGATGAACACCCTAGAACGGTACGTTCTTCATATGGATAGATAGAGAAGAATTTTTACAAGGTAAACAAGTGGAAGTAGAATAAGAGGTTAGGGGTGATGGATTGGGATCCTCTACCGCACGGCAGAGTGCCTTGCGCGCAGAGGACCGTCGGATGGGGGAAGAGGGGCCTCGGGATCTGCGCTTCAACATCTCCGACCGTCCATCTTTTGATCGGATGGTTCCCGAGGGCCGGGCACCGTGCCTTACTTTGAAGTATGGCAGAGGTTCCGGATCCAGGGGTGATGGCTATAAAAGAATAGGTGTATGCCAATTCACAACACTAATAACGGCGTTAGTTTTAATCCGTTCATGGGGGCGGGTGAGCTTTATTTGTCAAAACACAAGGGGTTTTCCTGCACTTTTAAAAACACAAGGGTATAATTCGCATAATTTACATATCATGAGGGTTTATGGTGCATTAAACCCACACTTTGTGGCAATTTTGTTTTTGTTTTTTCTTTCTTCCTTAGAATGTATGCCTCACCCTTGCAAATTTATCTTTCCTTCTCCTTTCTTTCTTCCTCAACCTTCTTTGTTTCTCTCTTTCTCCCTTTCTCTTTGCTTGTTTCTTCCTTCTTTCTTGTACGCATCCTCACTCCATAGATCCAATCTTCCCAGCAACTTCGCAGTGGTCAGGCAAACAATTGGGAGCATCTTCGCCGCGTATCCACAATGTCATCGGAAATCTTGTTGTGGCCGGAATCTACCTGGCAAAAGAACAATCTAACAGAGGAAAAGAGAGGATGTTCGGGGAGTGCAGAAGTTGTCACTTTCTGCCGTACTCGCAACCGCCGCTGTCGTTGGAGCTGCTGCTCAGATCTACGAAGAGTTCACCATTGTTGTCCCTCTCCAAGTCTCTGTCTGAAGAGAGAGAGAAGAAGAAGAGGCGCCAAAATCCGCCGGAGTGTAACCATCCTCGACTTCCTCCAGTTAATTTCACTCTCTCTGACACTCAAAATTCTAAAAGAAGAGGCAACAGAGAGAAAGTAAAGGGCGGTTAGAGCTTTAAGAGCAAATACAATGCAAGGGTGTGGTCTCTTAGACACCCTTACGCACGGGTCCCATTTTTTATTTCACAATTTTATGTGTAGGACCCACGTCTTTCCTAATTTATTTTCATTTTCATTTTTTTATATCACTTTTAACCCACTTTTCATCATCTTTTCCTCCTCGAATCCCGTGTAATGTCCATTTC